ATGAAGGCTATGACAAAAGAATCTAATTGTATCATATATTTGTGAAACAACTTCATTGAAGGGAGTGAAAGAAAAAGGTACTGACCTACGTAACTTTGGGAATGAGTGGTGGCTCTAAGACCAAAGGCAAAGCGGGCAGCACGTAAGAACTGTGCTGTAGTTGATAAAGTTGTTTCCCATGGGGATACACATCAACAGTTCGGAAACCACTGTGTATGTGTACTGGAATTGAACAATTATGTCAATGGATGGCAGATGCTAGGGGCATAGTTTCTCACTGTTGAAGTGAGAGATTACAGATTAGCAAGCAGAGGAGGCTAAATGATCCATGGGGTAATGGACTAGAGTTGGAGGCATCAGTATGAACTCATATTTAGTTTAATATAGTTACAAGTGGATACATGTAAAAACATGTATAGGTATATGTATGTACACAGATAGTATACATGCATATTTTTCCTTGCTCTGTCAGCTGAGCAGACCTAGAAACACTGACACTCCAGTAGCAGCATTCAGACCTTGTACCCAAATCTTGGCTTTTATTAGCATTCTTCAGTAAAAGAAACCATGGCTTGTTGGAGAAAAATGGCTGATTCTGGGATGGGGCGTGCAGCGTACAAGCTGAGCCTGGAGCATCTTACAATGCCAGAAAGTAGGAAGATGCTAAACACACCTACACATGCGAATGCACACGTACATAGACACACACACAATAATGAGGGTATATCAAAGAGATACAGGAGCTAATTGAGAGCTGTCAGTAGCCAAAGCTGAAACATTTGAGCAAATAAGTAGTGTTGGATTATAACCTGAAGTAAACATCAATATTCACGAGTCCATCTGGATATAAATAAATGATTGAATAAATAAATGGGGAGAATAGATAAATCTTCCATTGAAAAGAATTATAAATTTATGTAGATACTCTGCCCTCGAGGAGGTGAAGCGTTAACTCCCTTCTCCTAAGTGTGGGCTGTGCACACATACTGTGTGCACTTCCAAAATGGGAGTTGGGGGTGAAACCTGGCAGACACTCCCTCAGCCAGGTAATCAACAACAGCGATAAATCATGTTGACAGTGTGTACCCTTGATACTGTGTCCAAGAAAAGTATGAGAAACTGTCACAGTCAAGAGGAGGCTAAGGAAGCATGATGGCTGAATGTAATATGGTATCCTGGATGGGACCCTGAAACAGAAAAAGGACATGAGGTAAACGTAAAGGAAACCTGATTAAGTATTGATCTTACTTAATAATAACATATCAATTAGCTAATGATAATGTCTCATGGTTGGTTCGTTAATTGTGACAAATGAACTCTTCTAATGTAATATGTTGGTAATTGAGGAAACAGGGTATGGGAACTCTCTGTACTATCTATACAGCTTTTCTTTTAAATCTAAAGTTTTCTAAAATTTCAAATTTTTATTTTTAATTTTATTTATTTTTATTAAAAATTAAAACATTTTCCAGTTTTACTGAGCTATAATTGACATGTAACATTGCTTCAGTTTAAGGTATAAAGCATAATAATTTGATACATTATATGTACAGATTGCAAAATGATTACCACAATCAGTTTTGTTAACATACGTCTCACATAGTTTTTTTCTTGTGATGAGAATGTTCAAGATCTATTTTCTTATGAAAGTTTATGTTTTAAAATGCCTATTACTTTAGCACTGGCTGGTGTGGCTCAGTGAGTTGAGAACCAGCCTGCAAACTGAAAAGTCACCAGTTTGATTCCTGGTCAGGGCACATGCCTAGGTTGCTGGCCAGTTCCTCAGTTGATCAATGTTTCTCTCTCACATCAATGTTTCTTTCCCTCTCTTTCTACCCCCTTCCTCTCTCTCTAAAAAATAAATAAAATCTTTTTTAAAATGTCTATTCCTTTGGACTTCTAGGAATTTATCTTTAAGAGTTCATTAATACTGCTGGTCAAGATGGTGGCATAGGTAAACACAGCTCACCTCCTCACACAACCACATGAAAATCACAACTAAAATATAGAACAACCATCAGTTAGAACCATCAGAAATTAAGCTGAATGGAAGGCTGACAACTACAGAATTAAAGAAACCACATCCATCCAGACTGGTAGGAGGGGCAGAGATGTAGAATGGGTAGGTCCCACACCTACATGTGGTGGATAAAAATTTGGGAGGGATATCTCAGGAGCAAGGAGCCCCAGCTCTACACCAGGCTCCTAGCCCAGGGTTCCAGTGCCAGGAAGATAAGTCCCCATAACTTCTGGCTGCAAAAAACCAGCAGGGATTGTGTCAATAGCTGAGACTTCTGGAGACCCAAACAGTTCCCTGTAAAGAACCCACTTACTCAGACTCACTTCCTCTGAGCTCCAGCACTAGGGCAGCCGCTTGAAATGCACCAGTGCCATACAGGGAAGAACTGGCATGTCTGGCATCAAGGCCAGTGTGGGAGGACAGCTTTCTCCCAGACAGAAAGGTGGATAGAGGCCATTGTCCCTTTTCTGAACCTTCCCCCAGAAAGGCCACAGAGCAGGCAGGTGGGTGCCATATCTAAGACTCCATAAACCTGGCTAACATGGTGTGCCCCACTGTGGAGATCCCCTGAGACTCCATCCCACCCAACTTATAAGCCCACCCAATATATAAATGGCTGGTCTTGCCTCATGTTTCACAACTTCCTAAATCCTATCAAAGAAGCAACAGCCAGCCTCAGTAACGCTTCAGCCCTGAGGCCCTGTACCTCTTGCTAAGAGGTCCCAGGCCCAGCACTAGCAGCAGCCAGCCTAGATTCATAGCTTGGCTTCTCCTGGGAATCTCCAGGCTCAACACAAGTAGCAGCCATCTCATACTGCTTTATAGCTCATGCAGCGTGGCCCTGGGAAGAAAACAGATGAGGCTGACCCTGGCCTGCACCACCCGGGAAACCCCAGAGCCTGCATACCCAGTGGACTGCTACAGACCACATTGGAGCACCACCACCCTGGCTCTGCACAGCTTATCCTCCACGCAGGGCAGAGGATAAGTGGTCATAGCTAGTTCTTGCAGCTGATTGGCATGGGTAAATTCCTCCCATTGATCTGCCAACTGTAATCAAGGCTCAACTACAAGAGGAGGGTGTACTCAGCCCATACTAAGAGCGCACCTTGAGTACCCAGCTTGGGTGATAGGGGAGGATGTGCCACTGGACCCTATGGGACACCTATTACATTAGGCCACACTACCCAGACGGAGTCATAGCACATCTACCTAATACACAGAAACAAATACCGGGAGACAGGCAAAATGAGGAGACAAAGATCATGGCCCAAATGAAAGAACAGGTCAAAACTCCAAGGAAGGAACTACAAAAAAATGAAGATAAGCTCTCTATTAGATGCAGAGTTCAAAACACTGGCTATAAGGATGCTCAAGGAATTTAGGGACGACCTCAGCAGCATAAAAAAGATCCAGTTGGTAATAAAGGATACACTGATTGAAATAAAGAACAATTTACAAGGAAACAACTGTAGAATGGAAGCCAAGAATCAAATTAATGATTTGGAACGTAAGGAAACAAAAAACAACCAATCAGAACAACAAGAAGAAAAAATAATTAAAAAAAGAAAATGAGGATTGTGTAAGCAGTCTCTGGGACCACTTCAAGTATTCTAGCATTCACATCATAGGGGTGCCAGAAGGAGAAGAGAAAGAGCAAGAAATTGGAAATCTGTTTGAAAAAATAGTGAAAGAAACTTGCCTAATTTGGTGAAGGAAATAGACATTAAGTCCAGGAAGAACAAAGAGTCCCAAACAAGATGGATGCAAAGAGGCCCACTCCAAGATACATCATAATGAAAATGCCAAAGGTTAATGATAAAGAGAGAATCTTAAAAGCAGCAAGAGAAAAGCAGTTAGTTACCTGCAAGGGAGTCCCCATAAGACTTCCAGCTGATTTCTCAAAAGAAACTTTGCAGGCTAGAAGGGACTGGCAAGAAATATTCAAAGTCATGAAAAGCAGGTACCTATAGACAAGATTGCTGTGGCCAGCAAAGCTATCATTTAGAATCCAAGTGCAGATAAAGACCTTCCAAGACAAGAAAAAACTAAAGGAGTTCATCATCACCAAACCATTGTTATATGAAATGTTAAAGGGACTTATTTAAGAAAAAGAAGATCAAAATTGTGAACAGTAAAATGGCAAAAAATACCTATCTATCAACAATTGAATCTAAAAAACAAACTAAGCAAACAAGAACAGAGATAGAATCATGGATACAGAGAGCATTTTGATGGTTACCAGGTGGCAGAGGGGATATGGAAGAATAAGTGAATTAGTGAGGGGATTAGGAAGCAGAAATAGGTAATTGCAGAATAGCCATGGGGATGTAAAGTACAGTATAGGAAATGGAGTGGCCAAAGAACTTATATGCATGACCCATGAACATGAAGAATGGTGCGGGGATTGCCTGAGGGAGTAGGGGGTGATGGTGGGGGGATGAAAAGGCGGGAAATTAGAAACACTATAATAGCATATAAAATATAATTAATAGAATATTCCCATACATCAAAATGACCTACACCAGCCCTGGCTGGTGTAACTCAGTGGATTGAGAGTGGGCTTCTAACTAAGGGGTCACCAATTTGATTCCCAGTTGGGGCACATGCCTGGGTTATGGCCCAGGTCCCTGGTACATGTCCCTGGTACAGGGTGCATGAGAGACAACCACACATTGATAATCCTCTCCCTCTCATTCTCATTCTCTTTCTCTTCACCTCTCTCTAAAAATCAACAAGTAAAATCTTTTTTTAAAAAAATGACATATACCAGACCAAAATTATCTATGGATGGTAATGGGTGATTTTTATTTAGTTTACATAGTTGTGAATTCAGTTTTTCTATAAGTAATGTGATCAGAAAAAAATTAATAAAGTTTGTAAGTAAACAGTCACTACAGGTATAAAATCAGGGGGGTTAATCAAATGGGATATTTATTGGCAGTGCTAGGAAAATTAAGCAAGAACAATTATTTTTCAGATGAAGAAGATGATGATGGATTCACCGCATGTGTCTGGTTTTAGACAGCAAGAAGAACTTAGCCAATATAGGACATTACATGGAAAATCGGCCAGAAACCCTCAAGAGAAACATACTGAATAGGAACACAGCTAAGTATCTCCTGTAATTGGGGAAAAAATATTTTTAAGATGTCAAGTTGTAGCTTTTTTTTTAAAGGAAGCATCTCTCTGCAGAAAGTTCCTGTGGTTAGCAATGAAGGTTAAGCCACTTTTCCCCCAGGTGAATCCACTATGAGTATCATCCAGCATGCGGCAGAAATAACACCTGCTTGAGTGTGGTTGGTAGGGATAATATGGGTGTAATAATTTATAGTTTTAATTTCAACATTTCACCTAAAATGTCATATGGTGTGCTTGAGTGTGATACTGTTGTTACAGAATTACATGCTTATGGTTTTGTAATAAAAGATTTTGTAATAAAAAAGGGGCATTATTTGTGCAGGACCCTGTATTTGGGCCTCCACTGGATGATGCATACTGAAAATATGAGTTATTGCAGCAGTGCTGTGAGCTTCCTTCCACCTCTCAGTACTAATTAAAAGGGAAGACCAAGAACCACTCTGAAGAATAAATACCAGCCAGTATATAAGGGTTCAGCTATAAGTTCTTTGATAAGAATAGGGTTCTAAGAACCTGCAATCAACAGTACTAAGTACATTACGATGAAGTTCCAACCTCCTGTCCCACACTTGGAAAACCTGAGGCTAACCACTCCAAACACCCTGATTCATATATCCTCTTATACCCTGCAACTTGGGCAGCCACAACCACCTTCTCTAGAAGCTGTCTTTGGCTGGTACCATGGCATTCTGCCATGGAATTTAGAAGGTCCCAGGACTGGCAAAAGTTTGGAATCTCATGGTCTGAGCACTTTCCTGATAAGAGAACAGTTATATAGTAATCCCCACAGCAAGAATCAACGTACTCTCCAGGTCATGGTGGTCTGCCATGTAGTGAGTCAGTGCTTTCAAATTACAAGGACCCTCAAGGAGTCATGTAGTCTTCACACTCCCCTTTTTAATAAAGAAAGAACTAGAAGACTGGGCATTAGGGTCAGTGTCTCCCAGGACTATCTCTGAGGTGACCTACATGATCCCATCCATTACCCTATGATATTTCCTATTAAAAACAGAAGTACATTATTGCTTACCAATGTTAGGAAAGCAAGCCCAGAATTCCAACTGGGGAGCAATTTTGGCTTATAAGTGAGACTGAGTCACTCTGAATATCTTGCAGGCTCTTGTGGAGTGTTTGAACTCAACTTAGTTTACCACACCCCTTGCTCATCAAGGTAGGCCCATAAATCAGGAGACGCAGCATGGCGTTCACCTGCAGGGCACTTGACACCGCCACCTCCCAGATGTTCTTCCCCTAGGAAATGGCATGGTGTCTGCTACTGCCCCAAAAGAACACCTAGAGAGTCTATTGGAGACATGAGTCTGGACAAGATCACAGAAGCTGTAAGAAAAAATGTGGTTGGGGCTCTGCCCTGAAACTTCCCACTAGAAGACCCTCTTAAACCCAGACATTGGCAATTTTTCACATCAGATCTAGGGAATTATATTTAACTCAGAGAAATATGAACTTAGGGGAGAAATATTTTACATGTATTTCAACATATACACACATACACAACATGTATATTGTCTGAGTTCTCAAAGTATGGTCTGTAGGCTCCTGGAGGCCCCAAGGCCTTTTCAGGGAGTCCAAGAAATCAAAACTTTCCATTAGAATTCTAAGATATTACTTTTCACTGTGTTGACTTTTACACTGATAGTACAAAAGCAATGGTGGGTAAAAATTGCTGGTGCTTTGGGCAATAGTATCACATTGTTAGTAGTTAATGTAGTCTTAGAGCATTCTAAGGAGGGGAAAGCCAGTTCTGCTAAGCATGTCCTTAATGACACCAGAAAAATTAATTTTATTAAAACTCGACCCTTGAGTACCTATATTTTAAAAATCCCCTGTGAGGAAACGGGAAGGACACGGAGAGCACTTCTGCCATACACTGGCATTTTCAAGTACATCAGTTGTCTCAAGTACAGTACATTGATTGTCTCAGAATAAACACTTGTAAAACCATTCCATTTGCAAGCTGAACTAACCACTTTCTGATGGAACACCATGTTTCCTTGAGAGTATGACTAACGTGAATTTTGGTAAGTCAGACATGTATTTGGCAGACATTTTCTGGAGCCTGCCACGTGAAGGAAAATAGCTGACAGTATTTGTTTCCAAATATAAAATTCAAGCTTTGGGGGAAAGTGAGGATTTTGGGAAATTGTATTCCCTGCCATTGGTTGGCAGTTTTCCTGAAAAGATTTTTCTGATGAGATAGGTGATGTTATCAACCAGTGTGGTTTTTATATAATATTTCAGTATTTGCAAGATCTGCATTACTCAGTAAACCAAGATTTCCCAGATGACCAAAGCATGACTTTACAAAACCATGTGTGAGTAAAAGAATCATCCAAAGATAGGCCAGTGGATTTTAATGTAACAGAGTGCGAAAAGTTTATAGTATGGTCTCAACCTTTACAAAACTAATGGTTGTTTAATTTCGATGTGGTATGAACAGGAATAATCACAATTATCTGAAAACTCATTAAAATATTCCTCCCTTTTCCAACTACTTATGTGTATTAGTCCAGATTTTCTTTACATTTTTCAACCAAAACACTGTATTACAGTTGACTGAATACTGAAGCAGATATAAGAATCCATCTGTCTTTTATTAACCCAGACATTAAAAATTCCAATCTTATCATTAAATTCTTTTGTTTTGAAAAATACTTTTTCATAAAAATATGTTACTTATGTTCACATTTATGAATTGAACTTACAGATTTTTAAAAATTCCTCAGTTCTGATTTATAATACAGTCAATATTGATGGGTAAAGCCTACATATAATAAACAAGAGCTCTTTGCTTCTTAAATAATAAATAAAAGCTCTTTGGCACTTCCGGCCAAGATGGAAGTATAGATAGACACACTGTGCCTCCTTGCACAACCAAAATAAGGACAACAATTTAGAAACAAAATAACAACCAGAACTGATAGAAAATTGAACTGTATGGAAGTCAGACAACCAAGGAATTAAAATAGACACATTCATCCAGACCGGTAGGAAGGGTGGAGTCGGGCAGCTGGGAGAGGGGTCACATGGTACAAAAAGTGGTGGCACCAGGCGCATACAGCACCCCTCAAAGGCAAGACTGCAGTGGGTGGCCCCTGGGCACACAGGCGGCAGCTGGCAGACCCCGGGTGCAGGGTGGCAATGGATAGACCAAGCAAGGTGGCGATTGTGAAGTGAGGCACTACACACAAGGCAGTTGGCTGACCAGGTGATCCCACATTTGCATGCAGATAAACCAGGCAGACTTGGGGAGTGAGACAGACAGTGCAACCCAGGGTCCCAGCACGTGGAAATAGAGCCTTGGGGCACTAATTGAAAACACCTGTGGAGGTTGAGGCACAGGGAGAGACTCCCAGCCTCACAGGAGAGTTCGTTGGAGAGACCCACAGGGTCCTGGAGCGTGCACAAGCCCACCCACATGGGAATCAGCACCAGAAAGGCCCAGTTTGCGTGGGGGAAGTGGCGGAAGGGACTGAAATCGGACAGAGAGTGGAGCAAGCACGATTGTTCCCTCTTGGACCCCGCCCCCACATACAGCATCACAAACCATCAACGTGGGTTGCCCTGACCTGGTGAATGCCTAGGGCTCCACTCATACGTAACAGGCACGGCAAGACAAAAAAAAAATGGCTCAAACGGAAGAACAGATCAAAGCTCCACAGTAAATACAACTAAGTGACTAAGAGATAGCCAACCTATCAGATGCACAGTTCAAAGCACTGGTGATCAGGATGCTCACAGAATTGGTTGAATTTGGTCGCAAATTAGATGAAAAAATGAAGGCTATGCTAAGTGAAATGAAGGAAAATGCACAGGAACCAATAGTGATGGGAAGAAAACTGGGACTCAAATCGATGGAGTGGACCAGAAGGAAGAAAAAAACATACAACAAGAAAAGAATGAAGAAACAAGAATTCAACAAAATGAGGAGAGGCTTAGGAACCTCCAGGACATCTCTAAATGTTCCAACATCCAAATTATAGGGGTACCAGAAGGGGAAGAGGAAGAGTAACAAGTGGAAAAGTTATTTGAGCAAATAATAAAGGAGAACTTCCCCAATCTGACAAAGGAAATAGACTTCCAGGAAGTCCAGGAAGCTCAGAGTCCCAAAGAAGTTGGGCTCAAGGAGGAGCACACCCAGGCACATCATAATTACATCAGCCAAGGTAAAAATGAAGGAGAGAATCCTGGAAGCAGCAAGAGATAAGGAGACAGTAACCTACAAGGGAGTTCCCATCAGACTGTCAGCTGATTTCTCAAAAGAGACCTTACAGGCAAGAAGGGGCTGGAAAGAAGTATTCCAAGTAATGAAAGGCAAGGACCTACATCCCAGATTGCTCTATCCAGCCAAGCTTTCATTTAGAATGGAAGGGCAGATAAAGTGCTTCTCAGGTAAGGTTAAGTCAAAGGAGTTCATCATCATCAAGCCCTTATTATATGAAATGTTAAAGGGACTTATCTAAGAAAAAGAAGATAAAAAAACATGTACAGTAAAATGACAGCAAACTCACAATTATTAACAACCACACCTAAAACAAAAGCAAACTAAGCAAACAACTAGAACAGGAACAGAACCACAGAAATGGAGATCACAGGGAGGGTTAGCAACAGGGGCGTGGGAGGAGGAGAAAGGGGGAAAAGTTATAGAGAATAAGTAGCATAGATGGTAGGTAGAAAATAGGGGAAGGGCAAGAACAGTACGGGAAATGTAGAAGCTAAAGAACTTATGACACATGCACATGAACTAAAGGGCAGAAATGTGGGTGGGAGAGGGTGTGCAGGGTGGAAGGGAATGAAGGGGGGAAATGGGACAACTGTAATAACATAATCAATAAAATATATTTTAAAAATAGCTCTTTGGGTCTTTAGTAATTTTTAAGAATCTACAGATGCTTTGAGACCAAAAAGTTTCAGAACTAGTGCAGTAATGTGTAGCAGTTCTAACGGAGGCAGAAGAACGGAGGAGATGACCTATGGAAACCGCTGGATTTTCCGTCTTTTTCCACTCAGCCCCTCTCATCTTTAGCCTAGCAGTCAGAGCTTGGGAGCAAGAGCTCTGAACTGTGCTCTGGATGTCTGGTGAATCTATGAAAGGGAAAAGGCACTCATTTCCCTCCTCCTCCTTCTCTAAGTCTCCAGACAGGAATTGGGGGCAGTGGTGTGCTGGGTGAAGAGAGAGACTAGGAAAGGGCAGGTGAGAGTGAGGTCAGATGGTAAAAACCATTTGTCAGGGGCCACAGCAGGTCTTCTCCGGCAGAGGAGCAAGGGGCATCCCCTAAAACAGCAACACCCATATTCCCTTCCAGCTGCTCTGGCCCATTTCTTTAAATGGACTAAACCCTACAATGACCTTTAAGAACCAACAAGCTCTTCTATGCCACAGAACCACCTGGTTAACAAGAAAAGGCCGTCATGGAAAGAAATCAAGCTTAAAGAGACAAAAATGTAAACCAAAATGGTAACAACTTCTACTTTACCACATACCTCCCCTTCTACCTCCCAACTCCACCTACCCTTCCCCTTGCCTTCCTACCATCCATCCCCTCCCCCTGGCCTGAGCCCTGTCCTTCTTTAGGCTATTACTAAGTCATTAGGATTATAGTCACTAGCACAGGCAATTTACAGTAATGATTTGAGTCCCCTCTATGCTATTTACTGGCTGTGATTGAACAGGTAACCCTCCTTTTCTGGACCCTTAGTTTCTGCTTCTTACAGATAAGGTGATCTTCCAGCTCTGTGAGCCTATGGTTATTAATAAACAGGAAATATGTGCATATTGGAGCTAAGACTCTGAAATTGTGCCCTGGCTGGTGCAGCTCAGTGGATTGAGTGCCACCTGCAAACCAAAGGGTTGCCAGTTTGATTCCCAGTCAGGGCACATGCCTGGGTTGTGGGCCAGGTCCCCAGTTGGGGGTGTAGGAGAGGCAACCACACATTGATGTTTCTCTCCCCCTCTTTCTTCCTCCTTTCCCCTCTCTCTAAAAATAAATAAACAAAATCTTTTTTAAAGATGAAACGAATGTATTATCATTGAAAGAAGCAGAAGAGCAAGAGAGGGAACAGAACTCTAGTTTGTGATCACTACACATTATCCCCTTTGGACAGGGATATATTCATAGGAGATGAACAAATACAGAGTTCTGAAAACAACCTAGAGAAACCTCCCCAGGTTGTAGTTCATCCCTTGGGTTCACTTAGCTAGTAGGCTCCTGGAGCTAGTGTCAGAGAATTCCCAGTTCTTGCCCAGCAGTGGTAATTCCTTGGGTCTTGGAGGCCCTACAGATTTTCAGCCTCTTTGTTGTGGCCTGCTAATTATATCACAGGCTCTGTCTCCTACCTAAAAAAATTTTAAACTGTTAATGAAATTTAATTCACATACCACACAATTCAGCCAAAGTAATTCAATGGCTCTTGTTATATTCACAGAGTTATACAATTCTGAGAACATTTTCATCACTCCTAAAAAGAAATCCTCTACTCCCTAGCAATCCCCCAGGTCCCCAGACCTAGGTAAATACCAGTCTACTTTCTGTCTTTACAGATTTGCCTATTCTGGATATTTTATATAAATGGAATTATATAACATGGTCCTTTGTGACTAGCTTCTTTTGCTCAGAATGAGGTTTTCAGGGTTCATCCATGTTGTAGCATGAATCAGTGCTTCATTCCATGTTATGGCTGAATAATATTTCACTGTATGGATGTACTACATTTTGTGTATCCATCAGTTTGAGTTGTTGAGTCATTTGGATGCTTCCACCTTTCAGCTGTTGTGATAATGCCTCCATGAACACTGGTGTATGAGTATCTTTTTCAGTCCCTGCTTTCAATTCCTTTGGCCATATACCTAGGAGTGGGATTACTAGATCATATGGTAATTCTATGTTTAACTTTTTGAGGAACACAAACTGTTTTCCAGGGCTGCTGGATCATTTTCATTCCCACTAGCGGTGTATGATGGTTGTAATTTCTCCACATCCTCACCAGTACTTACCATTTCTAGCCATTCTAGTGGGTGTGAATGGTGTCTCATTATGGTTTTGCTTTGTGTTTCCCTGGTGGCTAGTGATGTTGAGCATCTCTTCATGTGTTCATTGGCAATACATATGTCTTCTTCAGATCAATGTCTGCTTAGATCCCTTGTCCATTTTTAAATTGGGATTTTTGCCTTTTTATTAAGTTGTAAATTGTATATATTCTAGATATAAGTTTCTTAACAGATAAATGGTTGCAAATATTTCCTCTCATTGTGTGGGTTGTCTCTTCACTTTCCAGATAGTGTCATTTAGAGTACAAAACTTTTCAGTTTGATGATGTCCAATTTACTTTTTTGTTTTGTTATTTGTGCTTTTGTGTCATCTAAGAGCCATTGCCAAATCCAAGGTCATGAAGACTTACACCTATGTTTTCTTCCAAGGAGAAGTGGTTTAGCCCTTACATTTATGTTTTTAATCCATTTTGAGTTACTTTTTGCATATGGTGTGAGGTAGAATC